CCTTTTAAATTTAAGATGCAATCAATAAATGTGCCTTTAAGTTATTTACTAGAACTAGACAGGTTAATTATAAAGGTTGGGGTTAAACATGAATAGCCAGGAAAACCATAAAGAAAAGAACAACACACAGTGAGTTACCTTCAAGATATGAAATATTATGAAGCTTCTGTAATCCAAGCAGTGTGGTATTGGGTTATGAATAGACAGACAGACCAATAGAACACAATGGAAAATGAGAAATAGCCCAGGTGCCTATTAAACTTTGCATAGAATGAAGGCAACAGCTCAAAACCATGGGAAAATAATGGACTTTTTATAAATGGCAATAGAACCACACGATGGTCTTCTAGAAAAATATATAGTTGCATACATTCCTCGCATCATACACTGGTAAAATTTCTAAAATGACCAGATATTCATATTAAAAAAATGAACCCATTCAATCACATTATGATAAAATGAGTGATTTTCTTTATAACCTAAGAGAAGAGAAAATATTTCTAACTATCATTTAAATACCACAAACAATAGAAGACTAAAAAGTTTAATTTAAAATTTTTTCATAACAACAATCAAAAGACAAATCACAAATCAGAGGAAAACATGCAACTTATACCTCAAACAGAAAGCTATTATACCCAATATATAGTCCTCCAAAACAGGGGAAGGACAAAATACAGCAGAAACATAAGGAAAAAGTAGGAAGAGACAGTCCACAAAAGACATAAAAATACCAACAGTCATAAAATTTATGAAACCACCTGCCATGTTTCTTAAAATTAAAGAAATGCAAATTAGAACAATACTGAAACACTGGTTCTCACCCATCACCATGGAAATTTCTAAAATTCTGAAACTATACCATGCTGAAGAGACTGTAAAAAAGTATGCACTCCCAATTTCTGCTCAGGCAGAAAATAAATGTCAATTCCTCCTCCCCAAACACAAAATCCATCAACAATACAATCTCAGTCAAAATTGCAGCAGGTTCTATCGTAGGAATTTACAAGCTGAGTCTAGAATTCATATGGAAATTCGCAAGTCCTAAAGGAGCCAAAAACACTTTGAAAGAAGTGAATGAAATTCAGGACTTATATTAACTGATTTCAAAAATTATTATAAAGCTACAGTAATCAAAACCTGTATGGTACTGGCATCAACATAGACAAATAGATGAAAACAAACACACACAAGTAGAATCAACTGGTTTTTAACACAGGGAAAAGAACGATCACTGGACATTTATGAGCAAATATACACATACCCCAAAACCCCACATTGATCTATATAAAAAACTTAAGTCATAATTTCCACATTGTTCTTCTGGCCTCAGCAAGAACAGTAAAGAATTTCTTAAAAAGGATACAGTACTAACTATGAAAGGCAAAGTTGATAAGTCAAACTTCATTTAAATTAAAAATATTGGCTATCAAAAGATATCATTTAGGGTAAGTAAGGCATAGTCTGGAGAAGATGGGGAGAGGAAGATGATTGTGTATGTATGCATGTATTATGCATAGATACATATATATTATCTATACGTGCACCAACACAAACATGTACACTTCAATGGACTTACATGTGCATTTTCAAATTACTTCAATACAATAAGAAAACAACTTACTACCATATTTTTTAAAGAGAAAATGACTTGAATAATCACTTCAGAGAAGATATTCAAATAGCCAGTAAATATGTAAAAAGATGCCGAGCATTATTACTTATCAGGAGAAGAGTTCGATAAAAAAGCATTCCACTGTCCCTACCAGAATAAAAATACATTGTTGCATAAGGAATAAAATAGAGATAAAATTAAAATACCAAGGCTTAACAAGGATATAGAACAATTAGAATCCTCAAACAGTGTTGATAGCAATGCAAATTGAATCAAACATTAGAAAACAGTGATGTTTGGCAGTGATGTTACACAAGCTGCACATAAGCCTACTCTATTATCCAGCAGATACACCTATAAGTATAATACAAAAGAAATGTTTGCTTATTCCATCAAATACACAGGCACTATGTTTCCAAAGGCTTTATCAATAATAGGCAAAAGCTGAAAACTAACTTTATTAAAAGGCTAAATAATTGTATATTCACATGATGGAATACTACTCACCACTATAACATAATATACCCATACATACTGCAATACAGATATACATGACAGGCTTTATGATGAAGAAAAGAAGCCAGAAACAATCCAGTACCTGTTTATATGAAGTTCAAGTACAGACAACACTCTACAATGATAAAAGTCAGAACAGTGGATAGCTGTGGGGATGGGGTGGAGGGCAGGTTGTATTTATTGGAAGGGTGCAAGAGGGAACTATTGAATGTAGATGGAAATATTGTACACCTTGATCTAGGTTGTGGTTACATATTCATGTGCAAAAGTACAGTGAGCTCTACACTTAAGATTAGTGCACTTTGCTATATAAAAGTAAGGGCACAACATTTTCTTTTTTTTTTTTTTTAGATTTTATTTATTTATCTTTAGAGGGGAAGGAGAGAGGGAGAGAAACATCAATGTATGGTTGCCTCTAGTGCATCCCCTGCAGGGAACTGGCCTGCAGGGAACCTCCTGCCTGCAACCCAGGCATGTGCCCTGACTGGGAATCGAACCGTGATCCTCTGGTTCACAGGCCCATGCTCAATCCACTGAGCTACACCAGCCAGGAGGGCACAACATTTTCAAAAGGAGTTCTGGGTATTCTTTCATGACCTACATTGAACAGCATATTCAATACACCAACCCCAACTCCTAAATTTGAGGTTCCCTAAATTCAGGCATCCAAAGGGTCCACCACAAAACATACCCCTTTTATTACATAAAGATTTTTTATTACAAGATAATGAGCATATAATTCGGTAACATAACAATATGACACTCCAACACACCCTATGACAAAATGTTCACATTGCTGTCCATCTCATGTGAGACAGTCACATCCCCTATCAACCACATTCAATGGCACTACTTCTGCTGGACCCTGTATTTCAAGTCATCTCAATCCTCCCTTTATAAGTTTATTCTTTTCTTTTCGGCAGCATTGGACAAAATCAAAAGGCAGAATTCAACAGTTATTCGAGTTTCCCCTACTTCCTAATGGAATGGAGTTTCCTAAGGAACAGCCCAGTAAATAAAAATAATTATCCCAGCACTTCATTTCTCATTGCTTCTCAAAGAAATTTTACCAATAATAGTGAGTTTAGACAAAAATTTTCTTTTGATCTTTAATATAAAGCTCTACTTTCCATTTCATAATATGGCTTTATGAACTTATCCTGAGATCACCATTTCTTACCCATATGCCTCTATTATTAGAATATGGAGGCTAACTGCAATGCCTGAAATTTCCATAGCAATTGCCTCTCCTAATAAGCAGCAGCTTGGTGCTGCCTGGCAGGTGGACATGGACCCAGGGACAGCTAGTGCTCTGTCACATACTCTAGACCAGTGTCATCCAATGGAAATATAATGCGAGCCACCTATAAATTCTAAACTTTCTAGTAGATTCCTTAAAAATGAATATATACATTCATTTTACTGACATTTTATTTAACACAATATATGCAAATTGTTATCATTTCACCATGTAATCAAAAAAAAAGTATCCATGAGATTGTTTTTCATATTCTTCAAAGATTGGGTGTGTATATCACACTTACTTTGCCCACTTACAGTATATCTCCATTTGAATGTCCACATTTAGGTTGCTTAGTACCCTATATGACTAGTGACTACCAGATCAGATAGCACGGCTCCCAATGACCTTGGACCACAACCAAGATAACCCTTGAAATGAGACTCCAAATTCTTTATCAGCCTCGAAATAATATGACGCATCCACTCAGCATCTTTCTACCCTATAAAATGCCATTTCTCTTCTCTCAAAGTTCTAATTCACTAACCCACATCCCTGGTGCTCCACTAACCAATTCACTGGTCGCCACACTTGCCCTCTGGGAAACCTAACACACTACCCATTCACACAGTTAAAAGTCATCAGACACTGATCTGGTCATTTTGCCAAGACCTACTCAACAAAATTTGTCACCTCCTATTCTCTTGCAGAATGTGATGTATGAAAGTTGTTTGTGCAAGTAGCACAAAATTATTGTCAATTCTTTTTTAATTTAGATGTACTAGGTCAAATAACATGTGAAATGACATCTTCCAAGAAAGAGATGAGGCAAGAAAACATGGCCTAAAGGAAAACAAACTGAATTGAGATACAAGCTGGGATTTTAGTCCCAACTTTGCCGCCAGGTAATTTTTTTACATTTTTGGACTAGAGGAAATGATTCTATATGGGATTTTCTCAGAAAAATGAAAATCGACCTGCCTTTACACCCAGCAATTTCACTGCTAGGATTATATCCTAAGAATCCTAAAACATCAATTTCAAAGAACCTATGCACCACAACATTCATAGCAGCACGATTTACAATAGCCAAGAGAAGGAAGCAACCTAGGTGCCCATCAGTAAATGAATGGATCACAAAATTGTGCTACATACACAAATTGGAATTCTATGCAGCAGAGAGAAAGAAGGAGCTACTACCCTTTGCAACAACATGGATGAAAACTGGAAAGCAATATGCTGAGTGAAATAAGCCACGTGTTGAAAGACAAATACCATATGATCTCCCTTTAACAGGAAACTAAATGATAAAACAAACAAGCAAGCAGAATAAAAACAAAGACACTAAAATAGAGAACAAGGGGACAGTGACCAGAGAGGGGAGGGAAGGGAATTTAAGGAAAAAAAGGGCAGGGATTTGGAGGAACAAGTATGAAGGACACTGGGATGAGGACTGGAGAGGGGGAAATGGGAGGAAGGTGGGGAACAGGAGCCTGGGGAGGTGGCTGAAATGGGAGAAATAGACAAAAAACTGTAATTGAAAAATAACTAAAGAAAATTTAAAAAAAGAAATGATTCTGAAGTCCCATTGAATACTGCATACTATATGATTGCAAAGACTATTTTCATAAAATAAAGAAGGAAGAGTTGGGGTGATGGTGAGAGGGAATAAATCCATTTGGGAAAGAGTTAAAATTTCTTTTAAATATACAGTACAAAAGCATGAAGGTTGAATTCCTTATTGATGATGATGATAAAAAATAACAACACTCTAATTTAAAAATTCTCATGCCTTTTCTCAATTTCCAATTTTTTTCAAGAGAAAGTTATTCTTCCCAAGGTTTTCTTCATGGCTAATTTGACATCCTTGTTCCTCAGGCTGTAGATAAGTGGGTTCAACATGGGAACCACAATGGTATAGAACACAGTACAGACTTTGTCCCATTCAAGGGGTAAAATAGTAGGTGGTTTAAGGTACACAAAAGCTGCTGAACCAAAGAAAAGACAAACTGCCATTATATGAGAACTGCAGGTACTAAAGGCTTTGGATCTGCCCTCAGTAGAACTAATGTGGAAAATGCTGACAAGAATGAAACCATAAGAGAGAAAAATGGTCACAATGGGCACCCCAATGGCAATGGCTGCAAGAGTACAGAGCACCAGAGTAGTCATGAAAGAGCTGTTGCAGGAGTGCTCAAGGAGGGGAAGGAATTCACACATATAATGATTGAGAACGTTTTCTCCACAAAAGGTCAGAAACAGTATATTACCTGTATGCGCTATAGCCGACAGAAACCCCATCCCATAGACACACAGCAAAAGAAATACACACACCTGAGGAGACATGGTGACCGTGTACAACAGTGGTTTACAGATGGCCACATAGCGGTCATATGCCATTGCTGACAGGATGAAGCATTCAGAATTGGCAAAGAAGGCAAAGAAAAAGAACTGAGTCATACACCCAGAGTACGAAATGATGTTCTTCTTTGAGACAAAACTCATCAGCATTTTGGGGATGATAGCAGAGGAGCAACTGAAGTCAATGAAGGACAAGTTGAAGAGGAAAATGTACATGGGTATATGAAGATTAGAGTTCAGTCCAATCAGTGTTATCAAGCCCAAGTTCCCCACCATGGTGACCACATAGAAGCCTAGAAACAGGAAGAAGAGAGGGAGCTGGAGTCCTGGTTGGTTAGTTAAGCCTGTGAGGATAAACTCTGTCATAGAGGAGGTGTTATCTGCAGCCATCCTCCTCTGGGACTGCCTGGGAGAAAAAAAGAAGAGTTGCTCACACAGAGTGAGAAAAACAACCCATTCCTGAGAGTGCAGTTTGAACAGGGAGGTGTGGAACTTAGAGTTGAGATGGCATCTCCTTCTTCCTGCATCTCTGTTTTTATGATCCCCACATGGCTTCAACCATCTTAGTAACTGTTGGCGGGTGAAATTATCCTCAAGAGAAACAGCTCATCCAACTGAGGAGAAAGTCCACAAAGGTCAGCTGGGATGACCCTGCAACCTTCCAGTGACCCTCTTCTGGTACTGCCTGTCCTCTACAGCGCAGGGCCAAGTTTGGTGTGACCTGGGCCCTTCTCTGCAATGCTGTTGGGAAGCAGAAGCCAGTTGCCCTAGAACTTCCACCTTTGGTCAGTGCTGGTCAGAACAGAAAGTTGAGGCTGTGTTGCCCTGAGCCTTTGGCAGGAATGGCGGTGGAAATATTATGTAAAAATAATACTGGAGTAATAAGGTAAAGTTATTAACTAAACCCAATAAAAAAGAAATAATTGCTGAAAACTAACTAAACTAATGGCACTGTTCTAAGTGCTCTGGGCATTTTGGTTAAACCCACTGAACAGGTGAGGACACAGGGCACAAGTCCCAGGCCTTCTAATTGGCAGTGGAGGGGTACTCCGTATGTCTGGCTCGGGGTTCGAACTTCGTACCCTAACTACTCTGCACAGACCAGGTCAGGCAGGCACTCACCCTCCTTCTGCCTGCAGTCACAGTGCTGGACTCTGCTGGCTCCCACCCACCCCTCTCATGGAGACTCACATGGCCCTGGTGAGAGGAAGGGGACAACTCAGAGCTAAGACTGCTCTGCTTCTGACTCTCCTTTAAAATTCAAAGCCTTTAGTTTGTCTTGGTTCTCCTGTTGAGCTGAAGAACATGATCTCAGACGTCTTTTGTCCTGAGCCTGCAGTTCAGCTTCCAGGGTTGGAACAGAACTTTTATAACATCTGTGTATAACCAGAGACTGAAGAGTGTTATTCTGGACTAGGGACCACAGTGACCTAGTTACAGAGGCTCCCTCAGGTATCCTGCTCCCTAAGGAAGAAGCAATGTTTGTTTATGCCCTGATGGTGCCTGACGCAGCTTTAGATGGCCTTTTCTTTCATTCATGTTACATCTTTATAAGAACAATTAAGAATAAAACTCTAGGATAAAGAATTCTTTTGCTTACTGAGTGCTTACTGTATACTGACCTCTGTATTTGATGCAGCCCCCTCCTCTGAAAGGTTTAGAGCAACCCATACATAATTTTATCACGTTCATTCCTCAGAATGACCTCGTAAGATAGACCTATTTGTCTCCACTAATAATACATGAAAGAAACATGAAAGTGCACTGAGGAAAGGAAAGCTAGCGAGGGGGACAGGACACAGGGGAGAGTGGCTGAAAGGGCAAATGCTAGAGATTTCAGTTAAAATAGCGGGATCTGACACTTGAGCAATGACTTGAGAAAGACCTGGAAAGTCTTTGCTTAATAATAACACCAGTTACTCTAATGAAATGCTGGGTGTCATGGCTTAGTGCAGCACCATCCCTAGGCATCAGGGTTTTGTCCCACAATTTTATTACGTACTCCAGCCCAAATTATCGCTGTGGGGAAGGAAAGTGTGACCAAATAACAGGGTAGGGGTAAGAGACCTTGCTGGGTTTTAGGTAACCACAAGTCATAGAGTACAGATTTTTGGCTGAGACTGATATAAAGATAAAGAAAATTTTAAGTGGCATTTCGTCTTCAACACCCTTTGGCAGGGGCATTTACATAGTAAGGATGGCAAATTTTCTATTCAAAAAACAAATCTCTATTTGGGGAAGTTCAAGAGTTGGTTAGCTGATGAGTTCTGTATGTTTTTGGTCAGAGTTAAGGTCAGAAGTTCTTTGGGGGAAATTATGACAGTGGAACAGAAAGGCAGAACCCATCATCTTCCAGGCAAGTCCCACTGAAACCACTGCACATGGGCCTGTGTGTGTGTCTGAGTGTGTACACATACAGAACTGAGGGCTTGCCCTACCCCCACAAAAGCTCAGCAGTGATGGTTCCTCATCTGCCTGTTTGCATGGAGAAGTGTCCACTGCCCAGATGATTATAATAAAACCCTGTCTCTGTTCTCAATTCTGCTGCACATGTTGAAGAAATGGAGACAAACAACCCATTACCAAGAAACTAAAGTAAGCATCACAAGTATGTTCTCCTTAGGACCCAAGGTCAAAGAGGACCTTGGCGACTCACTACAATGTTCAGTTTACTTTCAGAATCTCAGAGGATTCTTGGAAGCATGATGCAACACCAGGAAAATCTCTTCTGAGATCTTTGCCTCTTCAGAGATGGTATCCATGGGAGCTTCAATTCCAGTGCATCAAGGTTTCATTTCAAGCGAACCAAGGCTTCTCTAAAGCTGTTTTGACTGTTGACTTGCTCCTATACAAGCAGAGAGAAACACAAATCAATATACTTGTTATTTTTTGTAGGTCTTTTATAATCTCGGTTAAGTTTATGCCTAAGCACTTTGGGTTTTTTTCTTGCTTTAGTAAATAGGATTTCTCCCCTAGTTTCTGTTTCTGCTATTTCATTGCTAATGCACAAAAATGCCATCGATTTTTGAATATTAACCTTGTATCCCACTACTATTCCAAATTCACTGATTGGGACAGTTAGTTTTTGGGTGGAGACTATAGAGTTTTCTATGTACACTCTTATCTCATCTACAGTAATGACAGTTTTCCTCTGTCCTTTCCAATTTGGGTGCCTTTTGGTACTTTTTCTTCTTGTCGGATCCCTGTGGCTAGAACTTCCAGTACTATGTTGAGTAGGAGTAGTGAAAGCATGCCCCCTTGTCTAGTTGCTGATCTGAAGGGAAAGCTTTTAGTTTTTTTTTTTCCACTGGGGATAATGTTGGCTGTAGGTTTCTCATAGATGGCTTTTATTATGTTGAGGTATCCTCACTGTAGTCTCACTTTGCTGAGTATTTTTTTAATCATAAATGGGTGTTGGATTTTATCAAGTTTTTCATCATCTATTGATCTGATCATATGAATTTGCCCTTCATTATGTTTATGTGGAGTATTATGTTCATTGATATGTGAATGTTGTAGCATCCTCCCATCCCTGGGATGAATCCCACTCGACCATGGTGTATGATATTTTCAATGTATTTTCTTTTTTAAAATATATTTTTTGATTATGCCATTATACTTGTCCAATTCCCTTCCTTTATTCCCCTCCACCCTGCACACCCCTTCCCCACCATTCCTCCCCTTTCACTTATGTCCATGTGTCATGAGTTCTTCAGATTCTATATTTCCCATACTATTCATGACCTCTCCCCTGTCTATTCTCTACCTACCATCTATACTACTTATTCTCTGTACCTTCTTCTACCACTACCCTGTTGCTAAGCCTCAATGTGATCTTCATTTCTATAGTTCTGTTCCTGTTCTAGTTGTTTGCTTAGTTTGTTTTAGATTTAGGTGTGTTTGTTAATGACTGTCAGTTTGTTGTCCTTCCACTATTCATATTTGTTATCTTCTTTTTCTTTGATAAGTCCCTTTAACATTTCATAAAATAAGGGCTTGGTGATGATGAATTTCTTGAATTTGATCTTATCTGAGAAGGACTTTATCTGCCCTTTCATTCTAAATGAAAGCTTTGCTGGATAGAGCAATCTTGGATGTAGGTCTTTGGATTTCATGACTTGGAATACTCTTTCAAGCCCCTTCTTGCCTGTCAGGTCTCTTTTGAGAAATCCACTGAGAGTCTGATGGGAACTCCTTTGTAGGTGACTGTCCCCTTATCTCTTGCTGCTTCTAGGATTCTCTCCTTCATTTTAATCTTGGCTAATGTAATGATGATGTGCCTTGGTGTGTCCTTTCTTGGGTCCAACTTCTTTGGGACTCTCTGAGCTTCCTGGATTTCCTGGAAGTCTATTGCCTTTGCCAGATTGGGCAAGTTCTCCTTTATTATTTGTTCAAATAACTTTTCCACTTGCTGCTCTTCCTCTTGCCCTTCTGGTATCCCTATAATCCATATGTTGGAACATTTAAAGATGTCCTGAAGGTTCCTAAGCCTCTCTTCACTTTTTTGAATTCTTGTTTCTTCATAATTTTCTGTTTGGTCCTTTTTTCCTTCCTTCTGGTCCACTCCCTTGATTTGAGTCCCAGTATCCTTCCCATCACTATTGATTCCCTGTGTATTTTGCTTCATTTCATGTAGTGAAGCCTTCATTTGTTCACCTAATTTGTGACTAAAATCAACCAGTTCTGTGAGCATCCTGATCACCAGTGCTTTAAACTGTGCATCTGATAGGTAGGCTATTTCTTGGCTGCTTAGAGATATCGGCTCCTGGGGTTTGAGTTCTTCTTGAGCCATAATGTTTTGGTCTGTTCTCACCTGTTACATATGATGAGCAGAGCCCTAGGAGTTCACAAGAAAGGGGAGACTCAGGTTGCTGAGTTGCGACGCTATATGTGCGGGTAGAGTTCAAGAGGGGCAATAGCGGTCTCCTCTGCTGCTTCCCATCAGCTACTGAGGCCTGCATGGTTTGTCTCACTGCTCGCTCCTTTACCTGGTTTATCTGTGAGCAAATGTGTGACCCTGGTCAGCCAGCTGCCCCCCACCCTCACTGGGTCCGCCCTTTCTAACCCACACCTGGGATCTGCCAACTGCTGGCTGTGTGCCTGGGTCTGTCAGGCAGATCTTTCCTCCCTGACCCCACTCTGCCTCTGGCTCAGGCCCTCTTACCAGTCTGGCTGAATGGTTTGTTGTTGTCAGACTTTGGTATAGTACAATTTTCTGTGTTTTGGTTGTGTTTTTGTTACTAACACTTTGTTGTCTTTAAACTTGGTTGTGCAAGGAGGTAAAGTGTTTCCATCTTCACCGGAGGTCCCTGTTTTGGCTTGATTTTTATTTTGTGGTAAGATCACTTAACCTGTGATATATCCTCTTAACAATTTGTAAATGCAGAATACAG